AATCATAACTTAAAAAGTTATGACCTATTAATTTCTATAACTAAAAATTTACCAATATATTTTCTTAAACTTTTTATATTAGTCTATTTTCTACTCTTTTCGAAAAAAAAAATCCAAAACTCCCAATAATTCAAGGGATTATGGGCCGAAGTTTCTCCCCAGATGGCCCAACTACAAAGAGACGACAATGGAAATGACATTTCTGGACGGTTCCTAAAAACGTACCTTTAATTACGGTAGAAACCATGAAAGAGTTTTGAACAGCGACTGAAAAGCTTGCCAATTATTATGGCAGTCGTTTTCTTCCACTGTTTAAGCTCTCCTCTCGCCTTTTCTCCTCTGTTACAGTCATCAAGACTCTTAAATAGTTCTAGATATCGGATTTTGGCTTCATCGACTCCGTCTGATCAAATGGCTGAAGGGCCTACGAAGGCGATCAGGAGGAGCACGTTCATGGAGTTTCCCTACTTGTCGGACCCACACAGGAACCTGATGGTGGATCTCACATCAACAGTTGAGACACGCCTTGATTCCCAGCTCTTACCCTGCACCCTCCCGGAAAACGTCCGCTACTTCGAGAACCAGAATGGAACCTCCCATGCCACCCTTTACCTCAGATCCGGCATTAGCTCTTCCCCGGTAATATCATTATTCATGTTTTAGCTACTTTACCTTTCTTTCTAATCAGTTTTTGATTTAAAAAAAAAAAAAAGAAGAAGAAAAAGAAAGAAATCTCGTATGTGCTGATCCTGATTACGTGAAACGGACGAATAGTGTTTGATGAAAGAAATTCGTCAACAAAAATATTAAATTGATTTCAATGATCTAAGACACAAATAAGAGAGATTAAACAGTAAAAACACACAAAAATTCATAATAGTTCACTCTTAATTTAAAAACTACGGCCTCGTTCATTTCACCGATTCGAGTTTTTAGTTTTAGGTTTCTACAGTAAAAAACTCTCAGAAAATGTCACATCAAAATTTTCTGCTACAGTGAAAAGCACTTAGAAAATGTCACATCTCAGCTCGAATCAAAAACGCGAATCCGCAAAGCGAACAAGGCCTACGTCAATTTCAGACTAACTCCTCCTGAAATGGACCTCTTCTTATTATATATCTCTGTAGTATATGCAAGTTTCTTTATTTTATTTAGGGACATTATCCCAAAATGTAAGGAACCGCCGAAAAAGCTTCACCGCAACCACCCTCCACGGCCGCCACACCTCCTCTCTAAAAACCGCAGTCCCAACGGTGGTGAAGTGCACCGGCCCCATCATTTCACTCAGAATCCATAGATGAGTCAATCCCGATCAGTAGCCACCACCATCCTCACCGATTTACAAGAATTCGAAGTTGCCACTGCTACTCTCCATGGAGGAGTTTGGTTCCGTCGATTTTGGCCGTCATTTCTCATGTCGTTGGTGTCAAAAAACTCAAAAGTAAGTGAGTAACAAAAGTCCCAACTCAATTTTTTCGATATGTGGCTGAAAAACTGAGAACTAAGTCACCGGAAACCGAGAATCAAGTCGGAAAATTCAAATGGATTTTGCCTTATTCCTAACTTAACACAGTAAATTACTTTTTTGCCCTTAACTAAGAAAGTGAAAAATGATGACTCGTGCTAATGGCGAATTATTCATGAAGAAAATTTATTATTTTTAAAATTTAGGAGATATTTTATTCAAACACTTATAATTGAGGGGAATAAATATAATTTGTCTAAAAAATAATTTAAAAAAAACCCTGTAATGTAGTGTAATTTGTATATCCATTCATTTATTTTAAATGAACTAAAACGCAGCGTTTTATTAAGCAACTGTTGAATTATAATTCATGAGAGCCAATGCAGGCACGGAATCTGACATGAATGGCTGTCATTAATTCTTGCCACTGTTTCCACTCTCTCTCTTCTTCTCCTCCTCCTTCATCAATTTCTGGTTCTCTACACTCATCACCAACACCAAGGCCTCGGATTTCAGCCTCAACGGCCCCCTCTCACATGGACCTACACAACCAGGGCCGTTCAAAGTTCATGGAGTTTCCGTACGTCTCGGCCCCACACAAGAAGCTCATGGTGGATCTTGTATCGACGGTGGAGAATCGCCTTGATTCTCAGCTCTTTCCCTGCACCCTCCCGCACGATGTTCAGTCCTACCACAACCAAAACGGGACCTCCCATGCTTCCCTCCACATCAGATCCGGCCACAAGTCGTCCCCTGTTTGTTCCCTCCCTCTTTGACCTTTTTCAACTTTCTAGCTTCCGAAAATGATTTCTGCTAATTTTATATACTTTTTAATTTCGCAAAAAATAATTAAAAAAAATTTCACTTTAGAAGTCGAACTTCAAGTTCACACGTGAAGATTATAATATTTTCATACATATATATATATATATATTATATGTATGTATGTATAGTTGGTTTTGCTGTGAAGCTTCCGTTGCCGTTGGTGGACAATGAATGGTGATTTTAGTCAAAGCATTAATTTTTCTTTGTGCTTGTCATGGATCATGGATGGGATGTGATGTGGTAGAAATTATATGGTTTCAGTACAATAAAGTCGTGTTAACCAGAAAAAAAAACAAAAAAAAAAAAAAACACTAATTTAGATTAGACTTGTAATGGTCAATTGGTCGTGTTCTTCTTGGTTTGGAGTGGTAGTGAATGGTTTGTGCAAACCCAGTTTTTGAGCTCTCACCCAATCGTATGCTTACGTATGTTTGTACGCATTTATTTAGGTATAATGTTGAGTTTGAAGTATTGTTAGCTCAGCACGTAATATAACCCTGTTTGGTTTAACTATTTGAACCAAACAATTCAATTCAAATTGTATTTAAAGGTTTAAATTAGTATTTATTTTAGAAATAAAAAGAGATCATTCAAACTATCAATTAAGATTTAAATGGTTGATTTTAGAATTCATACCCTTAAAATTTACCATTTGAATTGTTGACAACAATTTAAAAACAATTATTTTTATTTTTTTTCTATCTTTAATTTTAAGCTTAAAAATGTTATAACTTTTTGTTTCATTTTCAATTGAGATTATTTTTTTTCCTTTATGTTTCTAAAGAGAGGAATAAATCTCCATCCATATTGCATATTTTTAACCTTATTTACAATGAGGTTTTATAAGATTTGTTACGCCTCTGTTTATTTCAATAGCTCAAACTGTTGTTTAGAATTCAAACCTTAGTTCAGGATTCAAACTGGTGTTTGGGAGTGAAAAATTCAAGGACAATTCAAACCATCAACAATGGTTCAATGACAGCTCAAATTGTTGATTTTAAAATTCACCGCCCCTCTAAATTTAACAGTCTGAATTGTTGTCAACAGTCTAATAGTTTCAGATTCTACTTTTTCTCTCTCTTCAATTTCAATCTTAAAAGTGTTAAAACTTATTCGTTTTAATTTCGATTGAGATGATTTTTTTTAATGTGTTCATAATGAATAGAGGAATAAATCCCCATCCATATTGCATATTTTTTAATGTCATTTATAATGAGGTTTTATAAGATTTGTTACAAAACCTGAATAACAGTTTTCAACACTTTATCCAAACACAGTTCGGATTTTATTCTCAATTCAAATTACAATTTATTTGCATATCTAAACAACAGTTCTGATCACAGTTTAAATCATAAGAGTTCAGATTCTACATTTCTAACAAAAAATGTTCAAATCTCCACAGTTTGAGTTGTTGAACTAAACAAGCCCTGCAAAACTCTAATGACAGCTTTCAACACTTTATCTAAATACAATTCAGATTTTATTTCCAAATCAAATTACAATTTATTTACATATTTAAACGTCGGTTTGAATCACAATTAAAATAACCACAACTAAAACTAAATCAACAATTTGAGTTGTTAAACCAAACAAGCTCTAACGAATTCTCATCAGGTGTCCCTATTCTTTCTTGAGTTAGCAAATTAAGCTAGGACATTTACTTAAAGTAGTCTTTAAGAAGGCCATTCACCCCACTGTCTCTTCTTAATTTGGATTTTCTTCTATATGGTACTTTTGGAGTTGAATAGTTTCGTTTCATAGTTTGTCTCTAGTATGCAAAGAATAATCCACCGACCCGTAACAGAGAAGTTTTAAACTTCAAAGAGATTTCAAGTTCAATAAAACAATGCTTCACACTGCCGAAATTGCATTTTTACCCCACTTATAGAGTGTTAATTGTACAAAAATATGAGAATTAAATTGCCCTTTTTCTGGCCAGAGCAACTAGGTAGGGATGCAGAAGGATCTCTTCGAAAGCAGGAAAAGAAAGTGAATTAGTAATATGTGTTAACTGTGGAGATTAAGGCTTCCATATAGCCGACCCCAATTAAGTTGGGATTAAGGCTTGTTGTTGTTGTGTTAAGTTATAGGGTCCAATTATGCCCTGATAATAGAATGTGTCCCGCGTTTTTGTTTAACTTCTTTTTCTGCTGACTTTATTGCTATCTGTAATATAGAATTAGAGCGTCTTATTCTTAACCATATGAAATCTCAAAGTATGTACGAGAAACAACTTGTGCTCATTGGATTAAGTTCATTTGATTTTTTTTTTCAGATTGATTTCGTGTTAGGAAGCTGGATCCACTGCGAGTTACCAACAGGAGGAGCATTAAACATAACAAGTCTCTCAACCTATCTGAACTCTTCCACAGACGCGCCAAATTTCCTAATTGAGATCATCAGAAACAGTCCTACATCTCTCATTGTTATCCTCGATTTACCGCCTAGAAAAGACCTCGTCCTAATTCCAGACTACCTCAAGACATTCTATGAGGACACCAAGTTGGAAGCTCAAAGACAATTGCTCGAAAAAGTCCCCGAGGTTAAGCCCTACTTCTCTTCGTCACTCTACATCCGATCCGTCGTTTCTCCGACGGCAATTATGGTCCGAATTGAAGCAGAGGCAGTTGAAAGATTAGAGGAGATTATAGAAGACTATGTTGATCCCATTTCAAAAGAAGTGCTAAGGATTTGGTTGGAGCAATGTGCTTGTGTAAAGAGAGAGGTCAATGATGAGGCTGAGAAGAACTACCTTCAAAAGAGGGATAAGTTTGTGAAGACTAAGACCATTGAGATTGATTTGGCTTCGAGCTTGCCGAGATTGTTTGGTCCAGAAACCGCGGATCGAGTAATGGCTGCTGTGAAAAAGTATTTCTCCTCGTGATGTGATGATTTTTGTACAACATTTTATGTAGCTAGCGAATAAATGGTGTGCGAAGAATTTTAGAAATTACCCTTCTATCTAGAGAAGTGATTTTATCTGTACAAGTACTAACTTCTGCATATACAGTATACTACTGCTCTTATAGTCTCGTGATCAATGCAGCAAAAAAAAAAAAAAATCTATATTTTTTGAAATTGGAAAAGGTTTAGGAGAAAGAGGGTGGCATTCCATCAAATTCTTGCATATTCAGTACTCGTTTTTTTCGTCTAACCAATGCCGTAGAAGTGACTCGAATTCAAGTTCGATTGAGGAGCTAGAAGACAAGCACCTTAACCACCCTAACCGTTTATTAAAAAGAAAAAAAAACCCCCCACCGTAACCATTCAAACAATTACCATGATTGTAACAAAAAATGATATTTAATAATTAGTTCTCTGAAGTAAGTCTCTGATTTTCTTTTGAGGACTTGCAACGCGATTTGTCCGATTCCATAATTTTTTCTTCTGAAAAATTTCAAACCTTAGACCATATCCTTTTTTAATGAGAGAGATGACCTTAAAGTTATACGTCTTACTAATTAGATAACTTTAAGGATGTGCGATATCATTATTATTATCCTAAAACATTTTAATTGTCCTGGATTTTTCGCGACTTTTTATTTGGATGGAAAAACGGGGTGCTAAATCACACAGCCTTACAATTATATGAGGTTATAAATCTTGAATGGCATGATACTATAAATCACAATGATTGTCTTTTTTCTCCACTTACTAATTGAAATTTTGGTAATGATTTAGCCTTTTTTTTTTCTTGCATAACAGTGACATGGCAGTGCCTTCCATCTTCTGATGTAGTGTGATTGATATTCCATGCGAATAATGACATAAAAGGGCCACAAAGTTGTTTACAATTACTTATCCTCTCAAGGAAAAGCTATTGTTATATAAATGATAAATATAGAAAAAGAACAACTTAAATCATACAAGTTCTCATCTACTTTTCTTTTCTTTGTAAAGTTCCTCGCATGATTAAAAGCAAATAAAACCCTGAAAAAAAACAAAAACAAAAACTTGAAAGAAGGATAACTGATAAGAAAGTTCCCCGTATGAATTCAAGGGATTATAACCAAAAAGGGGAAAGAAAAAAAAAAAGGGAGAAAGAGAGAAATATATCAAGATTTGAAATGAATTAAAATTAATAAGTTAATAGTTTACATAAGTTAATAAATAGGCTAAATTATTATTTTTGTCCATAATTTGTCTGATTATGAACCATAACTTGACAAGTTATTGTCCATAATTCACAGTTTTTATCTATAATTTGTTTGATTATAAACCATAACCTGACAAATTTATCCATAACTTATCTAATTATGAATCATAACTTAAAAAGTTATGACCTATTAATTTCTATAACTAAAAATTGACCAATATATTTTCTTTAACTTTTTATATTAGTCTATTTTATACTCTTTTCGAAAAAAAAAAATCCAAAACTCCCAATAATTCAAGGGATTATGGGCCAAAGTTTCTCCCCAGATGGCCCAACTACAAAGAGACGACAATGGAAATGACATTTCTGGACGGTTCCTCAAAACGTACCTTTAATTACGGTAGAAACCATGAGAGAGTTTTGAACAGCGACTGAAAAGCTTGCCAATTATTATGGCAGTCGTTTTCTTCCACTGTTTAAGCTCTCCTCTCGCCTTTTCTCCTCTGTTACAGTCATCAAGACTCTTAAATAGTTCTAGATATCGGATTTCGGCTTCATCGACTCCGTCTGATCAAATGGCCGAAAGGCCTAAGAAGGCGATCAGGAGGAGCACGTTCATGGAGTTTCCCTACTTGTCGGACCCACACAGGAACCTGATGGTGGATCTCACATCAACAGTTGAGACACGCCTTGATTCCCAGCTCTTACCCTGCACCCTCCCGGAAAACGTCCGCTACTTCGAGAATCAGAGTGGAACCTCCCATGCCACCCTTTACCTCATATCCGGCATTAGCTCTTCCCCGGTAATATCATTATTCATGTTTTAGCTACTTTACCTTTCTTTCTAATCAGTTTTTGATTTGAAAAAAAAAAAAAAAAAGAAGAAGAGAAAAAGAAAGAAATCTCGTATGTGCTGATCCTGATTACGTGAAACGGACGAATAGTGTTTGATGAAAGAAATTCGTCAACAAAAATATTAAATTGATTTCAATGATCTAAGACACAAATAAGAGAGATTAAACAGTAAAAACACACAAAAATTCATAATAGTTCACTCTTAATTTAAAAACTACGGCCTCGTTCATTTCACCGATTTGAGTTTTTAGTTTTAGGTTTCTACAGTAAAAAACTCTCAGAAAATGTCACATCAAAATTTTCTGCTACAGTGAAAAGCTCTTAGAAAATGTCACATCTCAGCTCGAATCGAAAACTCGAATCCGCAAAGCGAACAAGGCCTACGTCAATTTCAGACTAACTCCTCCTGAAATGGACCTCTTCTTATTATATATCTCTGTAGTATATGCAAGTTTCTTTATTT